TGTGTGTGTGTGTGTGTGTGTGTGTGTGTGTGTGTGTGTGTATGTGTGTGTAAGTGCATTGAAAAAATGCTGGAAGGAAATGCAGCCAAATATTAACTCTGGTTTTAACTGGTAAGATTAAAACCTGGACTGTTGCATTTTCCCCTTTTTTACATTTTTCAATTTTCTCTAAAGAGCACATATCTTATAAGGAAGAAATGTGATTTTTTCTAAAGCAATGTACATTTGCCTGGAAAGACTTCCTGCTCCGGAGTCCTAGTTGTGTGTGGCACCTGAGCCTTCAGATGGGGTCTGATCTGCTCTCTGGGACCCCTCCTTCCTTGGGAAAGGTTGTCTACATTTTTTTTTTTTTTGCTATGATTTAGCTCCTGGCTGTTTGTTCTATGGCGTTGGGAACAGGTACCATTCTGCCCCAACGATAGTGTGTCAGCAAACAATTTCCACTTTACATATTCAGTCTGAGAGTTTCCTTTTCCTGGCCTTGGGCTATTTCTGCAGTTTGCCTTTGTAACCTCTCTTTCTTTGAGAAAATGACTCCTGACCTAAGACATTTTTCTGGCTTGAGCAGAGCGTCTTTATTTGGTCTCTTTCCCTCATGCTTTCCCTGTGCTGTTAAAGTTGATATTTCCCCCTAACATCTTTAATATGATTCTTTAAAAGGGTAAAACTGGAAAAACCCCATGCCCTCCCACGTGTGGAGCCTAGAATGCTCTGCACTCTTTAAGTTTCCATGTCATTCTCCTCGTGACAAACAGGACGTTCTAAAGGCTTTGCCTGTCAGCTGTTCTGCCTTCTTCACAGGTACCAGGAGCTCCTGGATAACAACCAAAGCCCTTTCTTCCTGTTCACGTGTGCAATGCGGTGGCTGGCTGTGCGGCTCGACCTGATCAGCATTGCCCTGATCACCACCACTGGGCTGATGATCGTTCTCATGCACGGACATATTGCCCCGGCCTACGCAGGTCTCGCCATCTCCTACGCTGTCCAGGTCAGTCTCTGGGATGGGGGCATCACCGTCACTCTTTTTAGCCCTTCCTATGTTGACCTAGCAGAGACATGGTAGGGGCCTCTCCCCTAAGCCACCGTTTCACCTGTGACTCCTAGAGCGTCTCGAGGACTGCTTTGACCATAACCATCTGGACTTGGCTGGGAGGATGGGAAAGAGGTAGGAGTGGTATATAGGAATAAAGGGATTTCAAGTCTGTTGCTGAATTCACCATCCTGTCATCTCTGGCCTCCTCATAGTCTTCTAAGAGACACTATATCCTCAGTATGCTTCTTATATGCATTTTGTTTTCAGGCTCCTGCTTTTCCTAACACTGTTTCACATGTAAAGCCTTCTGGTCCCTAGGGATGGCTTATGGTCTTTAGCTCAAAGAACAACTGGGAACTTGAGCTCTGACTAGGTATTTGAAAATGTTAAGGAATTATTAATTTTTTAGATATCATGGTATTGAATAATGGTGTTGTGTTTTTAAAGAGTTTATATTTTGGAGAGATACAAGCTGGAATATTTATGGATGAAACGATAGGATAGCTGGGATTTGCTGCCAAATAATACAGAAGGATGGGGTGGTATAAATGAAAACAGTAGGGTCTGTGAGTTGACAGTCTTTTAAGATGGATGTTTTTCACATGGGAGTTAATTATAATGTCCTCTTTCCTCTTGTATATGTTGACATTTTTCCATATTGGAAAGATAAATAAAGAAGTAGCCAAAGGAAACCTGAGAAGAGATATGTATCTTCACAGATTTTCTAAGGTGCCTGTCCATGCTGTGCAGACTTACTTGATTATTAGATGGGCAGTAACAGAATCCTCAGCCTGAAGTGCACAGAGGCTCTGCGAGCACTTTCTGCCCAGCCTTATTTCTCTTAGCTGACTTTCCTGGGAGCACTCCCACTAGCTGTTCACAGGTTGATGTGTATCTCCATTTGTTGTGACTGCCACAGCAGGTGCAGGTACAAGTATGAAGCCACAGATACGTGTTACTGGACATGTAAAGATAGATGGGAAGCCTTTGGATACAGGAAAGTTAGTGCCAGCAGTACCACAATGCCACCTGTGTTCACAGACAATTACAGATGATTGAGGGGTAATGGGCATTGTCTTAAATGTTTAGAGAATTCCTGGCTCAGTTCCTAAAACCAGCTGCTGTATGTGCCCAGCTCTTATGAATGAGGTATGGTCCCCTAGATGAAGGAGGTTTTCTAGTGTTGGCCTGGCTTGTATTGATAATGAACTCTCTCTTGGATTTTTGCTTTCCGTTATCAGTTAACAGGGCTGTTCCAGTTTACCGTCAGACTGGCAACTGAGACAGAAGCTCGCTTCACCTCAGTGGAGAGGATCAACCACTACATCAAGGTCAGACTGCAACAGGCCTTGTACTGTGATCTCACCCCTCATGGAGGAGTTTTACCCTTTTACCACCTCGGGTGGATATGCAAGGAAATGGCATGTCTTCTCTGCCTTATCTCCAGGAGGCGTGGAATGGAAAAGTAGCATAACAGTTTCTAAATATATTTGTGAATCATGTGATTGAGAACTTACAGTCATCAATTAGTTTCCAAAATGTTCCAAAAGTTGTTGGTTCAGTTAAGCTGACTCACGTAACATTTTTCTTACACTGTGTAAGACCATGCATTGTTTTAAATTTTCTCCTGGTTCACTTGTTCTTAACCAGAGATGGCCGTCATGACCCCCTGTGGTGCTTTAAGCAAAGACAAACATGGACCTCTCTATGGAGGTGATCCTGGTGCCATAGGTTTTGGATGGGGCCCTGGCTTCTGGAGTTTTAAAAGCTTCATAGCTAATTCTAAATTGCATTCATCGTTTAAAAACCAGATAATTTAGTTGATACTGAGACTACCTTGCTCTTCCCACCTTTCCTTAGTAACCCTGCAGTCTTGCCATAGGGCAGTGTCTTGCTCAGATCCCAATGGGAACTCTAAAAGCAATTTTCTGTAGAGAGAAGCAGAGTCGTGAGTAGTTAGGATTTTCAAATTTAACTCAGTTCTCAGGAGTTACCTATCTCATGAACTGCCAGGGACTTGATCGGCATTTATGTCGTTGTTTACATGGGAAGAGTACATTCCAAGTTCCAAATAATGACTTACAAGCATGGTGTTGGAAATGTACTCTTTTGGTTGGGAACTAGTGTGTTATGTAAACTGCATTTTCTAGCAGAGACATGCTTCACTGACTTGTTTTGACAGTGAACCTCATTAGTCATGGGATATTTCTGAAACTTACAAATGATTATTTTGGGAAAGAATGGCACATAGCCATCTAATATATCTGCTAATAGCTGTTCCTTATGTTTATACACTAGCCTCTTTGCCCAGTGCTCTGGTCTGTGGATGATACATGGGTGTATATATGAAAGTGTAGTGTTTGCTTTAATATCGCTGTTCGTGAGAGTCTCTCACTGGAGAGGTTGGGGTGGGTAGTCAGCTGTGGTACAGCATGAACCTTGCACAGACAGCCATATTTCTGAGGAATGGCTCCCCACTGCCAGTCCCCAACCTGGATGTCTGTCCCAACATGAACCCTTCCAGCTTGGAGTTTTAGGCTTCATTCCCCACCCCCCAGAGCACTACAGTCTTTGGCCTTTACTTCCCTATAAGGCTGTAAGGCCCATGACTAGTTGCCAGAAAATTTTAAAACATTGCAAGATTTGACTGTTGATAACAAAAATGACAGGCAATTATATTAAACACAGGATTTTAAAGCTGGAATGGATTTCTATCTAATCCAGTCCCCACAACTTGTAGATGAGAAACTAAGACCTAGAGTGACAAAGTGATACATCCAGTCACACTGCTGTTAGTGGCAGAATTTGGATTAGAGTCTCTGTCTCCGGGAATGACTGAGACGTCAGAATGCCAGGATCTGATGACATGTTCAGTAAATGTTGTTACCTTTCTTTGAGTTTAGGCCAATGGTGGAATTTCACATGGTGGAGTCCTGTTTTGAGTGGAATATTTTCAGAGAATTCCAATACAAACTGCTGGGTTGAAGAGGAATAGAAGGCCTCGTGCCCCCCACCCTTGGCCTCCAAGGCAGTTTTGTGGAAGAATTCCTTGAGACAGGAGGCAGTTTGAAGGTCACTGCCCTGCCCAGCTGCTGCTTAGTAGTAGCCACTGTAGACTCAGTAGCCATTGTACTCTGTCTCTGTCTCACATTTACTGCCAAGGGAATCTTTCACAGCCCGGGGCCAGGGCTACCGCTGTTTCTGGGTGTTGGCTATGCTTTTCCTGGTTTAACTTCTCAGTGACAAAGCCCCCAGAATCTGGGGTCAGTCTGAACTGGCCACTTCTGTCTCCCCAGACTCTCTCTCTGGAAGCACCTGCCAGAATTAAGAACAAGGCCCCCTCCCCCGATTGGCCCCAGGAAGGAGAGGTGACCTTTGAGAATGCGGAGATGAGATACCAAGAAAATCTGCCTCTGGTCCTGAAGAAAGTGTCCTTCACCATCAAACCCAAGGAGAAGATCGGCATTGTGGGGCGGACAGGATCAGGTAAGGACACTCCAGGGCCTCTCTGGAGAAACATTTGAACCTGTAGGAGCTAAGTTCGGGGCCCGTGATTGCTGCCTATTGACTGTCACTCTCATCCCTTCAAACCAGCCCCCTATAGATGAGTGACGAGTGTCTCAGGTCTCACTGAAACCACTTTTCTAGGACTTTTTTTCAACCCGGCTTTTCTAACACTTAGTGCTTTTTCTAACCATAAAAGTATACATTCTCACTGCAGAACACGTGGAACATATGGCAAATTACAAACGGGAAGCGCACCCGTAACTCCACTACCTGAAGATAATTACCGTTAACATTTTAGTGGATATCTTTCAGGTGCTTTCTATCAACAAATACGTTTACAAAAATGAGGTCATTTTACACTCACTGTTTCATGGCCTGCTTTCAAAACCACCAAATATTTTCCATGTCAGTTAATATTCTCCAACATGATTTCTATGCAGCATAGTATGAAATTCTATTTTATGGATCACCGCAACTTATATTTAATAAGCTCCAGTCACAGGGCATGGAGTTTGCTGTCAGTGTTGCACTTTCTGAAGAGCACAGCAGTGAGCATCTGTATTTCTATGCAGTCAGAGGACTCAAGGTCTCTGTGATATATTGCCTGTGTAGCCTCATGTTTATCAGAGGCTAACTTAGCTCTAAATAAGGAACTTGTGTTCCTTTGAAGACAGAAATTAGTTTCTTGTTCTGACATCAGTTGCAAAGAATGTCAGAATAGGCCTTCATTTTAGGCATTTTTACTTCACGCTTATTCTTAGACGTGTATTATATGTTCCCTCTTGGTTTCTAGGGTCAAGACTTCAGTAATTTATTAATTTCCCTCTTTCCTTCCTGAATAACATTTCAGAGATTGAGTCTTGTCTCCTTTTACCCTGTGTACCCTTGTATAAGAGGTCTCTCTGGGTGTGTTCTCATTAGCTTTCTGAGCTCCATGCTTCCTTGTCATCAAAACTCTTCTAGCTGTTTTTCTTGCCATTAAAAACAACAACCACAAAGCCTGGCATCTTTTCTGGCCAATTTACTTTAAAGAACCTGCCAGGGAGACAAGAAAAAGTCATTTCCTGCTCCCTGTGTGAAGGAATTATTTCATGTCAAAACAAGATACTGCCTCTAAGTATTTTGCGCTGGCAAGAGGATGCTCAGCCAGGGAGGACGACTATCCCCAGGGCTCTTACTCTGCTCTCTCCCTTGGACTCCCTGTAGTGCATTAGCTGCCAGGGGTGCCCTGCTCTCCTGAAAGCTCTGACTGATGTCCCTTCCTGTGATTTCCCTTTCACACTGAACTTTTCACCAAGACTTGATTAAACCATAAGTAGTGACAGAAGAGGAACAAACAAGAAAAATAAAACAATTATAAATAGCCTGGTTTACAAAGTCTAGACTCTAATCCTAATAGCTTCTTCCAAGGCTCCTAGACCCTGGCCCTGGGGTGGTTGTGAGGACTTTGTTGCCTTTTTTACCAGCACATTCTATCAGAGATTTATAGAACTATAGATTCAGAGAACTATAAAGTCTTCTAGTCCAGGTGTTCCAAACCGAGACATCTTTTATTAAGGTGGAGCAACTTAACCTATTTATTTCAGCACCATTCCTTTCTTAGCTTGGATCTTAAACCACTGCCTTGGCACTGAGGGAGAATCCCTCTCCCCGTGTATCTGGGTAAGGGGACACTCACCATGACCCCCAATCCTGAATATAGCCAGTCAGTTTTAGGAGGAGAAGGCCTCCTTAAGAGCTGTCCTGCTACATGGGCTTGGGTTTCCCAACTCATTTCTGGATAATGGATGTGAGGAGTCCTGCCTTAGGAAGGTGGGCGTTTCTCTAGGTTCCCATTAAAAAACAGATATTGACAGCAGGGCTATGGCTGCAGACCCTGGGCCAAGACAGGATATTTGTACCCTCAATGACCACTAAATAGATGAATTCATGAGACTCTTGTGAGAGCATGGAGACAAGAAGAGGGTAGGCATCCTCCAGCCAAGGAAATGTGGTTTAACAGCTAAAATCCTATAGTTCTCAATTTAAACTAGGGGTGAGGAACCTTTTTTCTGCCAAGGGCCATTTGGATATTTATAACATAATTCCTGGGCCATACAAAATTATCAACTTAAAAATTAGCTATGAAAAAAGCTCCTAGATTATTGAATTTCGAGTCCTGCCTGTGGTTGCCTTGGTAGGACCAGAGCAAATGCCCACATTCCAGACATTCCCCACCTCGATAAACCATGGGTCTGAGCTGTAGAAAGGTAGATAGATAGCACTCTGTCAAACTCTTATTGGGGTGAGGGGGGCACTAAATGGAGCTTTTTAAGTGCTTATATGTTTTGACAGAGTAGTTTCAGTTCTGAGAATCTCTCCCAAGGAAATCATCTGAGGCAGGATTAAAGTTTGAGCAGTGACATATGCCATAAGGTTATTATAATAAATTTTCAATAAACTACACATCCAACGTTAGAGGACTGGATAAGGAAGAGTACATCCACATGATGGACTATATTGCAGCCACCAAGATTTTATCTCGACAAGTTAATAATATATGATTGCATGCTTGTCATGTCACGTTAAGCGGAAAAAGCGATTACAACATTGAGTCTCTGGTGTGCTCTCCCTCTGAGAAAAAGACTGAAAGGAAATGTGTCATAAATAACAGTAGTGATTATGACAGATTGATGTTATCTTCTTGAATTACTTATATAACTTAACATGAAGATTCAAGTAAGAAAAGTTGTTCTGCGTATCACCGTGACACTGAACTCATTGTTTTATCTGCCAAACCTGCCTTTCTCCCACAGTTCCCTGTCCTGGTGGAGTCACCTACAGCCACTCATTGACTTAGTCCAAAGCCTCCTTCCCTTGAGTATTTACCCAGTGCTTCTTCCATCCCCCAGCTGTTGCTGCAGCAATGGGAGGCCTTGTCTTGTTTCTCTCTCAGCTACATTAATGGGTCAGAAAAGAGAGAAAGCACCTTGTCCTCTGGCTTGCCCCTAGCTTCTTTCCATATGATCTCTGTTCTTCTCACTTTGCTGAGAAACCTGTTCCTAAGGTGAAAAGGAGGCATTTTTCCATTTTACTCTCATGAGAGTGTAATGGTCCTTCCCATTCCTTCTCTGGCTGAAGCCTTGTGATTTAAATGCATATGCTTGGTAGCTCAGGAAAGTTCATCGTTTTTTATGTTTGTTTGTTTTTTCTGTTTCTGGCTATCATTTTACAATTTTCTAAGTTAATCTATTGAAATAATGATTGCATAGAAACAGAAAAATAGATGATTTTGCCGTGAGAATTAACCAGCTTTGTAAGTTGCTAATGAGCTACTTTTCTGCATGTCTCACTCATCAGGGAAGTCGTCCCTGGGGATGGCCCTCTTCCGCCTGGTGGAGTTATCTGGAGGCTGCATCAAGATTGATGGAGTGAGAATCAGTGACATCGGCCTCGCTGACCTCCGAAGCAAGCTCTCCATCATACCTCAGGAGCCAGTGCTGTTCAGTGGCACTGTCAGGTGAGGACCTACACACCCGTTGCTTTGTGTCTCATTTCAAGGCCAGGTGGGCATGTTAGAGCCTCCCTCTGGGACTGAGATCTAGTGACCTCCAATCTAGTGCTTTTCCCACGTGCTTCCCACTGCAGGGGTGTGGGGCAGCCCCACTGTGCAAGGCCCCTCATTAACAAAATGGGGCTCAGAGGCCTTGCAGCGTGGTGGTGAGGAACTCAGAGAGATTTGGGCCCAGATCTCTGCTCTGTGACTTTGGACAAGCTACTTGACCACTCCTAAACTTGTTTCTTCATTCATAAAATGGGGATATTATTAAGACCTGTTGTTGTTAAGATTGAATAAATTTGTACAAATCATACAAGCGCAGAGCCTAGCAAATGACGAGCATTCAATAAACGGTACCAGCCGTCCTCAGCCTCCGCATCCTCTGCCCTCCGCGCTCTTCTTTCTCCTTGGTGCACCCGAGTTGCAGTTCTGAGGCTGGTGGTAGCCACTGTCACTACTTATGTTCTCCCATTTCCCAGCATTTCTCCCACCTTTACTACTTGGGAGTGATGCCTCTCCCTGCAATCTGCCAGCATGCCAAAGATAAAATTCCTCTTCTTGACCCATTAAAATAGTAACTAAGAAGGAAATATATTGAATCCCATTTTCTTTCTTTATCATTTATCCTACCTTTAGCCTTATGCTTTGCCTCCTAAAAACAATGGGTTTCCATAATTTGTGTCTTTTCCTATTCAAGTTGCTTCTCTTTCTAAATAAAAACAGTTTTAATTATATGGTCAACCGAGATAGGACTTCTTTGTTTTTTTAATCACCCTAAAAGTAGTATTACCATTTCCTCTTTAATTTTTAGCAGTTTCCAAAAAAATCAGTACTAATATAATTTCGAATAACCATAGGTGGTGTTCACATTTGTCTTAAAAACTAGGTCCTCCGCCTCACCCCTTTTCTTTGGAAATGGCATTTAAACTCACTTATTCAGGGAGGTTTGGTAAATAAACTGAATGCTCAACTACTTCCTTGTAGGTTCAACATGCTTTCATGTGTTTATTTTGGCATTTTTCTGAAACACTAATGAATTTGGACAGCATAGACTGGATCTGTTGATGATAATAAGTCATTCCCTTTGGGTACTGAGATAACAAGGTCAAATAAGTTGTGCAAGAAGAGGATTAGAATTTATTGAAGATTCAGATCTAATATTAAGAAATTGAGAGGTATTGCCAAATCTGCTCTTCGTTCCTATAGATCTCTCTACTTTAAGATGCCATAGGAATACCTTTGAGAATAAAATTGGCCTTAAAATTTTTGGCTCAAGACAAAACCATATTTTTCTAGATTTCTTAAATCATTATTTGGAAGAGAGTTAGGAAATAAGGCATGCTAAATTTTAGATTTCCCTTGAATATGCTGCCACCAAGAGCCCTGTGTTTATCTGAGAATCTTACAGCATTTCATGTGGGTCAGGAATCAGGGGCTTCTAGAGTTCATGGTAAAGAACTGGCCTGCTGACGTGCGCAACTGGTGTTTGTAGAACGTCGTGGAAGCACAGCTTTTGTGGGAGTCAGGGCCATTTGTTACCAGCTCCAGAGACATGTTGCTGCTTGATAAGCAAGTTCAGTAGTTGGTGTGCTGATGCCCTGAGTTTAGTTCTTGAGCTCAGAGTGCTGCCTGGGCGTCAGCAGTGCAGACTTAGGAAATCATAAGTTTCATTTATGGCATCTGTAATTCTGGCTTTTTAAGTCAGTGGTAGACACTAAGGACAAATAAAATCCCAGACCTTCTGTCCTCCTTTACCCCCTCAGGTTTCTTATAGATCCCAAACAACATCCAGCTTTTGGAGTTCTTTTGCTTTTGTTAGAAAACCAGAAAGCCTAAGTAATGAGTTTCCCAAAGCAAGGGAAGGGTAGATCAGCTGTTTCCTCAGCTTCCTCCTAGAGACTCTGAATTTGGAGACTGTGTCTCCAGCACCATTAACCAGCCTTATGGGTGAGAACATCTCCTTAAGATACCAACATGCGGTTAAAACATATAAAGAACTCTTAGAGGGAAAACAGGGTGAGACCAAAATCAAACAGACAAAACTCAGAAAAAGTCACAAGATAAAAGTGTCTGAATTATTCTACATAAAAATACAATCTAAAGCATAGACCAGTCCATTTGGGGGCACACCCCTGCCTAGATTAGCCAGAATCTCAGTCCATTCCAGTAGCTGCATCCAGCCCTCCCTCATCCGGCTGGCTGGGTCTGAGCTGTAAGGCCTCTGTTTCTGTGGCCAGTCCCTTTCTTCTGCCTTTTGCCCTGAGAGTTGGCTCCAAGAAGAGAGGTCCCTTCTCATCCTGCCCTAAACACTTTTGCTGACCTTCCATCTTTCGTGGCCCTGGAAATACTTTCCTTTTCTTTCTCCAGGGTCTCAGGGAAACCTATCTCTTGCCTCTGCCCTAACTAGCCTCTGCTGGAGAGTTTCCTGTCCTTGCAGACTGTCTGCAGCCTGGTGTGGCTCATGGTTCACCTGCCCCTCAGTGAGACCTGCTGACTGCAGCTGTCATTATAGTCTATCTCTGAGTTTCAGTCTCCTGTGTGGGGCGGGCACCTTCTCATCACCTGGAGCATCTCTGCCTGGCATCCATGTGTTAGCAAGAAGCAGTGTTCTCATTTCTTCCTACTCAGATGCCCTTTCTCCTTTTTGATCTGCCCATTAATTATTTTTACGTTTGAGGACTGTCTCTAGTTTTCAACTCACAGTCACAGGAACTGTAACTGAGTCCACAGGTAATTCATTCTGTTTTGGTTCATTCAGGGCCCAGACACCTTCAAACAAGCATGTAGTACTCTAGATGGCATGGAAGATGCTCCAAATTTGCAGCAGGTTTTTAGAATCTGAAGGCCTTTCAGTTTTCAGTTCTCCCTGAGTTATTCTATTGCTTTAGGGAGTTCCCTTTTCCCTTTTTTTTTTTTTTTTTTTATTTTTTT